GTCTCACCTGAGCCAGCCACGCTGGCCACTGTGGCAGTCGCGGAGGGGATGCATCTGCCCTCTCCCGTGGAAGGGAGCTGTGGGCAGTGCTAAGCTGCCTGAGAAGTCTCTCCTGGGATCGCTTTGATCTCCTCTGGTCGCCCGTAGCCCCGCAGGCGCTGGGGCAGGACGAGGGGTAGGCAGCTTCTCTGCTCTGCACCCTGAGCGGTGCTTGGCTCCAGCCCCCCTCCGCTGTAGCTCCTGCCCCACCACTGCTGGGGACGTGGCATCGGGGTGGGGACGGGGTCTCCCAGCCGGCACAGATGTACCCGCATCCTGCTGGCAGCCCAGCCCGGAGCCAGAGGAAGGTGCGCGATCCCCACGGGTCAGCATGGGGGGATCTCGTCCTGATCTCTGACACAGGCTCAGAGGTTCAATCCCCTTCCCAAAGCTTTTGGCTGCAGTAACTGAGGAGGCTTGTTAACGATGCAAAATACACAGGGCCCTGGAGGATCTCCTGCTTACCCAGGCTGGAGCAAGGCTCCTGTCCTTGGGGCAGCGAGGTGTGGGGGCTGACTGGGCGAGCAGTGGTGGGGAAGGAAGCCTTTCCTTCCGGGATGAGCCGGTGCGGCCAGGAGCTCCCAGGGGCGATGCTCTGTGGGAGCAGCTCCGAGCCCTGGCCCGGCAGCGCGGCCTTGCCGCAGGGACGGGCAGGGGGAGGGGGGCGGAGGTGCGCCGAAGGAGGGGGCAGGAGGAGCGGCGCTGGCCCTGCCCTGCTGTTCTGCTGACGAGGCACTTTCCCTGGAGCAGCCCAAGCGTTGGGCATGTTGTCGGGGTGAGGTATGGCGCGTGGGCAGCATCCCTGCTGCGGGGGGGGATCGACGCTTTCACGCCCAGCTGCGGCTTCGTGGGCTGCTTCCAGGAGATTTGCATGCTGCAGGAGCTGGTTCGCCTCCCGCGGGGTGGCTCGGCACAGCCCCTGCTCCGCGGGGACGGGGGGGTCCCTCGGCACCTCTGCCACCCGGCATGGCTCCCTGCAGGAGCTGCGTCGGCTTCGGGCGGAGGCAGGAGGGACCGGGGGCTGCTTCTTATGATAAGAGGATGATTGATACGCTGGTATGCAGCGCGGCAGACCTGAAACAATGTCCCCTTTTCATTCCCGGAGACGCCTGGCCGTACCGGGTTTCTTCAAGTTAAACTAATCTCGGCTGTTTTATCATGCCATCGCTGTAGAATGTAACCCTGAGTTTAAAGTAATTGCAGTACTAATTACTCATGCGGATGGTTCAAAATGAGTTAGTCCTGGTATCTAGGACATTGCCAGTTATTGCTGTTCAGTCTCAGCCCAGCTGCTTAAAAATGAGGCGCAAGTCAACGTTATCTGCTTTGGACTCCTACCAGCAATCGTAAATAGCTGTTGCTGCTCCTCGTGTGATGGGGCTGAGGCTACGGGGGAGAGAAAAACACAGCCCTTTGGAGAGAGCGAGGGGAAAACCCCCAGCTGGGCCAGGGTATGGGGTCCCACAGAGGATGAGCCTGGGCACCCAGTCTCTTCTCCGTGGAGGTGACGTAGTGAGCTGCCTGCGTGGGGGAGAAGCCTGGTCCGGACCTGCAGAACACCTTGGGGAGTTTGGGGGAGCTGCAGGTGCACGCCGGCACCCCAGGGAGCTGCCGCGGGCTGGCGTTGCCGTCCCGACCTGGAGCGCGGGCTGGAAGGGGATGCCTGAGAGCGGCTGGGTCGGGGGCTTTGGGGGTCTTAGAGTAAATGCAGCTCTCAACCCAAGCGCCAGTCGGAGGAGGACGGGGTGGCTTGGCAGGTGCTCGGAGTAGGGCCTGGCTGTGTCACTTCTGCTGCAGACACCGCGGGGAAAGGCTGGGGGCGGTGGTTTCCATGCGTGCCGCACTATCAGGTGGAGGCGATAACATAAACCGAGCAGCCGGGCTCACCGCACCAGAGGTGGGATTAACGCAGCACCGCGTGGGGTGGTGGTTCCCTGCCGGGGACTTGGATCCCCCTCCGGGGGAAGTGCTGCTGATGAGGCTCTTTACATGCAAAACTAAAAGCCGGTGATTCAGCACCGGGTGCCGCAAGCCTTCATGGGAGCAGCCCCGGTTCATCCCAGCTTGCCGTGGAGCTGGATCCTCTGCCGCTCT